TAATTTAATAAAAATACTATTTCAATTTGTACAATTAGAACATCAATTACCAAAAAATAGAGTTAGAAAAAATTTACAAATACATAGCATAGAAAAAATTGTAAATCAAAAAAAAAAATCTATCTTTTTTTTTATTTTAATAAAAAAAATTTTAAGTCAAATTTCTTTATCTCTTTCCTAGATTTTCCTTTTTATTTACAAATAAAAAATTTTTCAATTCTTTTTTAATTTTTCTTTCCCATATGAAAACCATATATAATTATAGGAAAGTTTAGAAGATTTTACTCAACAGTATATGCCAATGATCCAAACTTCAACAACTGTACACATCAAGGGTTTTTTGTCAAATCCATTCAAAATGGAATTAACAAAAATCAATAGACAATTATTCTTCCAAAATGGATGGCACTACTTTGTTACTGCACATCATTTTACAGAGCAAAATACTCTAACTTTTACATACATAAATGCTAACACTTTTGAAGCATTTTTGCATCATGAATTATCCATTACTATAACAACAATGTCCTCCAACAAGAATAAAGTAAAATCCTAATTTCACAGACTTTTTTTTTATTTCAATTCATCAAAAATATAGTCATTATATTTTTTGACTTATATTACATTTCTCAATCTCACTATGCAGAGAATGAAATTGATGGCTATTGTGACTCTCCTGTTTTTCATTGCTTAATGACCAACACAAACATCACTCTTTAGCCAATCTTGGTAAGCAATTAGACATATACTATTACTGCATAATATAACAAAACATACATTCAAAATTTCCATTAGCTATTTCTTATTACATTGTTTATACTACATATTCCAAGCTATTTTCATAAACATCTACCAAACAATAATTCTTCTATCACTTGCTGAAGAAAACAAATCTTGGATTGTACATTACAATAGTAGAAACAAATCATTCTTAGGAGGATGGAAAAAATTTGTCATCAACAACCACTTAATGATCGGCAATTACTACTTATTTGCCATGATAACACAGAACACTTTTCAAGTAGTTATCTATCCTGACTATGAATAAATTGGTCTCCAACAACATTTAAACGAATCAATTTGGTTTGGTCTTCTTTTGGATCTTTCTAACTTTGTCATGATATTGAAGTTCTTAATTTGTTTTTTATCTTTTCACAACATTATATACTATTTTTATCTTAATAATTGAACTACATGCAATGTTATTTATAATAAATGTTACAAATTTCAAATTTATTTGTTTATTTTATTAATAATTTTTTCAAAATGCTTACATTTAAAGTATTAATCAACTGAAAATTATGTAGTTCTCTGTTTCTACTTAACATTACAATTACCTAATAAAATATTAATTCAACACAATACAAAAAATCGGATGAAATCGAATCCCAAATAATAATAATAATAATAATAATAATAATAATAATAATAATAATCCTTCACATTGTTTCCACTCTTAATTTAATATGTCAATTTTTACGGTTAAGTCTCATGAAAAGATCATACATCCTTCCCACTCTTAATTTAATATATTGGCTTTTAGGGTCAAATCCTTAAAAAAAAAATAATTATTTTCCCATAATCTTGGTTTTTATTTCAAGTTATTACTAGACATAAAATTGTAAAGGGCCTCTAAAACTGGAGACATAGTATTGCTAATAAGTAAAATAAGATATAGTGGAAAATGGCGAAACCAATTGAAGCAAACTTTAAAGTTCTAAGTGTGGTGGTAGACTATGGCGAAGAAGTAGATGATAGGGATATGAAGAAGTAAGGCAGAAGATAAAATGGAGAAAAAGATTAGGGTGTAAATGAATGAATGAGCGAACGTATATTTGTAGTTTATTCGTTGATTTTTAGAGATATTCAAGTTTGGTTTATATTCGATAAGAAAATTATTCTATTTGTTTGAGCCCAGTTCGTTTAAATGGTTAGATATTCATGTTTGGTTAAATTAAATTAAACACATTTGTTTGTAAATATTAAACAAATATGTTCATACACATAGATAAATAAACATGTTCTTGAACAATAAACAAACTATAACCAAACAAATTTAAACAAACTCTAAATGAACATAAACAAACATAAACAAACCTTAAAATAGGATTAAGATAAATGATAAAAATATAATTTTGTTATTATTATAAACGAACGAGTTTTAAACGAACCTTAAATGAGTTTATTCATAAATATAAATGAATCAAATAAACTTCTATTCGCATTTGATTCGTTTAATAAATGAATATAAAATTATTATTTAAGATCTTTTATTAAGCTTAATAAATTAATATAAACGACAAAAAATATATATTAATGAATAGTTCATCGAAAATTCTATTTGTTTATACCTCTATAAATAAGAAGAAGAAGGGTAAAAGGGGTTTCGTAAAAGAGTTTTGTAAACATGCCAAAGTTTCCAAATGGGATAGCTTTCAAAACAAGTTTTTGAATAAAAGCATTTAATACTCATAATATTAAGAAAATGTTCAGTAATTTGGTTTAAATACAAAAATAATCCTTGTATTATATATTTTTTTATTAATTTGGTACCTAAAGAAATAAAATTATCAATTATATTTTTGTACTTTCATTTCATCATATACGTTGATACTTTAAATTAATAACGTTAATCAAATTACTAATATGGCATCAGTACCTAATAAAATCATGATATATGTGAAAAAAATCCGATCATTGTCACATCATTATTGTTATGTTAGTGTTAGAAGAAAATTTCAAAAAAAATCTAAAATAATAGAAAAAAGAAATTTAAAGAAAAATCTAAAATTTTTTGAAAAATTCAAAAATTTCAAAACAATTTTTCAAAAATTAGAAATTAAAAGAAATTTTAAAAAATCCTTAAAATCTCAAATAATTCAAAAAAAAAAAACTCTTAAACATCTAAAAAATTTTATAAAGAATTCCAAAAAATTGAACAAAGTAAAAAAATATGAACAATTCAAAAAATCAAAAAACAAATTCTTAAAACCAAAAAACTTCAAAAATTTTGAAAAACTAAAAAATAGTGAAATTTTAAATAAATCAAAAAATGAGAAAAGAAAAACTTTAAAAATTCAAAAACAAGTCAAAATATGAAAAATTAAAAACAATTCAACATTATAAAAAATTAAAAAATCTATATTTTTAGAAAATCTCAAAAAATAAAAAGAAATAAATAATATGGAATATTAGAATATCATAAAAAAATTTTAAAAATATAAACGTTGTATAAAATTCTATAAAAAATATGAAATTTTTAAAAAATTTTAAAAAATTTAAAGTTCGGCCTATATGATTTTTTCAATTTTTGCTTTAGATTTTTTTAATTTTTAAGTTTTAAGTTTTCATACTTTTTTTCTTATCTTTACAATTTTTTTGGAAGTTTTTTATAACTTTTCCAATTTTTTGAAAATTGTTTTAGATTTTCTTTAAATTCTTATGGTTTTTTAAAATTTTTTATATTTTTCTTGGATTTTTGCAGAATATGTTTTGAACTTTTTCATTTTTTTTCAATTTTATAGTGTTTTTCCTTTTTTGAAAATTTTTATACAAAATTTCTAATTTTTTACAAATTTTTTAATTTCAGATTTTTAATCTTTTATTTGTTTCTTTAATTTTATTTTTTTTAGGTATTTTTAAAATTTTCATATTTTTTGAGATTTTGGGATTTTTTGCAAATATTTACCTTTTTTCATTTTTTTGAATAATTTTTTAATTTTTGAATTTTTTTAATTATTGGGGTATTTTTAATTTTTCTGAATTTTTGGAAATTTTTAGAAATTTTTAGTTTTTTTAAAATTTTTCAATTTTTCAAAAGAAATTTGAATTTTATAGAATTTTTTATTTTTTAAATGTTTAAGATTTTTCTTAATTTTTTTAATATTTTATATTTTTTAATTTTAAAATTTTTATATTATAGCAATGATGATGTAGAGATTATTTCATAATTTTATTAGGTATTTAAATAACAGATTTTGTTTGAAATATTAAAGCGTATAATGAAATGAAAATTCGGCTACGTAATTAAAAATTTTATTTTTTAAAATATCAAATTGACAAAAAATATATAATATAATAATCATTTTTATTTTTAATCCTAATAGTTTTAGTAATAATGCAGTTGGAAATAGACTATCTATTTTAAAAGGAAGAAAGAAAATGTTACCAGAAAAGCATTTTAAGTATTTTCATATCTAAACTACCAAGTGAAACTCTCTAAAACATTCTAATAATGAAATTAACCCAAAAAACACTACCCTTCATTCCTTATTTACTTCAAAGAGTCCTTACAATGAATATGAATTTTGTCACTCATTTTGTGGGTTACTTATATTGTTGCATTATTTTTTTTTTTCATTGTTGCATATCTTTACTGGAATTGAAGAGGTAACATGTTAGTGAAATTATCCATGGACCAAACCGAGTGACCGTAAACATGTTATTAATAGTTTATGTGCTTATTTAAACCCAATTCTACCCAGCTTTTTAAGTTTGAAATCTCATCAAATTCAAGCCTATTTAGACAGATTTATGTTTAAAAATATATAAAAATTAAGTTCAAAAAAACTTTTAGTTCATTTCCATTATACTTATTAAATTTTGAAAATGGTTGAATAATGTCTCGTTGTCAGAATGTTTAAAATAATTTTTTTTTTCAAATATTTATCATGTAATTCAGCCAAATAATTTTAAGTAAGCATTTTTTGTAAATTATATCATCTAACTGAGAAATTTTAGCAAACAAAAAAAAAAAAAACGAATATTTTATATCACTAAAGTTCTAATTATAATAAATACAAATTCATAATCTTAATTAATTTTATGGAATAAAAAATAAAGATTTTATTTTTATTTTTGAATAAAGTTCGAGATTTCATTTCAATGGGGTATCATCCTTCTTTCAACTTTTTGTCGGTAAATTTTTTTATTAATTAAAATTATTATATCAAAATAAAATTAGAATGTAATAATTAAAATGAAACAGAGAAGTAGTCAATCATATACGTCCGTTTAGCGGCTATCTTAAAATTGGAAGAGGATAACTAGTTATATCTCAGACTGCTAGTATCTTATAGAAAGTCTTCACTGCATACAGATATTTGAGCTAGGGAAAAAAATGAGAGACAACTTCTACATCCCACTCATTTCAGTCTAGCCACTGCTTCATCCGACCATTCCCTTAATTCTTAAAGCTTTAGCATCTAACTTTCAAGCACGTCTAGAATTGAACAAAATTTGAACACCATGAAGTTCCATTTGGCGGGAAAAAGAAACCTATTTAATTGGGAGTTCGGGACTGAGGAAAAAATATTAAAGAAAAAAACACACACACACACACACACACACACACACACATTGTAAGGAAAATGTTCTCAGCATCCCTCTACAGATCCCCAACCCTCATACCCTTCTACAGATAAAAAGAAAACAAAAGTTAAAATCAAGGAAAATAAATGTCACATTGTCTGCTGGAAATGCTACATATGCCCCTACAATGTTGCCAGCTTTTCTGCCTCCTCTTGTGGAAACTCAAGCATCATTCAATGAAACAACCCTGACCAAGGAAGCCTCATCAGCCATATACAAGCTTGCTGCCACCCAACATCCACCATTGCGAATTACAAATCTTAAATTCAACAAAAGCCCTCATCACTAACCCATTGAAGGGCACCGGCCACCAGAGACTCAATCAACTCAATGCCAGTTTGCTTTACAGGAAGTAATCAGGTGTCCTCCGGGTTACATCTGGCTCTCCTCTCCTTGGAGCTGGCTCAAACTACAACAACACAATAGTTCTAAAAATGCCTACATATGGACATGCAAAAGTTTACACACGCACAATGAAAATATTAAGCATGCAGCTTGCAGCATCAGTGAGAGAGAAAGCTCACCTGAATGAATGTATGACCCTTGCAGTCATCAACTTCAAGGATGGAAGCCATGTTTCCACATCGATAGCAATAATTTGGTGCACTAAATATGGTAACAACCTTTTGTTCCTGTCAAAGAAATGATATCAATTGCACAAATCTCATATCAAAACTCAAATTATTCTAGACAAAGCACCAAAATAGAGGTAAGTACTTACATGACCCCAATTGTATCCTTCCATGACCAGCTGATGAGCCCTAGCAATAAGCTTCAAATTGTTTGTATGATTAAATTGCTCAGATATGTCCTGAAAAATATCATAAAAGTTAGTACACCAAGTCCTTCCGCCACATCTGAGAAAAACAGGAACAAAACCAAAAAAGGATGCGAAGCAAAAGAATAATACTTGGCCAAAGGTATATCCAGCACCCCTTGGAGAAATACCCCAACCACATCGATCATCTGGATCAGACCACAATAGATCACACATGGGACCCTCATGAGGGACTTCTTGAACACGGTCAAAATTGCGTATGTTATCCAGGGTTTCAATGGATGGAGATAATCCACCATGGAGACAGAAAATTTCAGATTCAACCTACAAAACAGCAGAAATTTTGCAGCTAAGAACCATTAACAAAAACAATACATTTGCCTATAACTGATTTCTGGTGTCATAAACCAACAAACTATATCAAAAGTTTGAGTGACATCAGCTGCGTTAGCTCAGCTTAGCTTAACTAGTTGTTTAGTCAAACTTGATCTATGTAAATTGAAGCTTTAAGTAATGAATAGAGCTGCCAACGGGTAAAATACTAGTGACAGAGGCAGAGACTAGCAAAATAAAAAGCTCTGGGGCTGTTTGCAAAATGATGAAAGAAGCATGCTAGAAGTGATGAAAGTATCTTTAGTTTGATTTTGTATGTTATTGTTACAGTGAAAAAGTTACTACACCATGTGGAAAATATGGGGTCTGTACATTATGCTGATTCGGGGGTGTGTTGGATACAGGAATACCTCCAACAAGGGTATATGCAATTTTTTTTCCAAGTTTTTCCTTATATATAGAGGGTCAGAACTTCACACACATCCATCGGTTATGTGTCAGACAAAAGCACTTCACAGAAAATGAAGAGCAACAACAGAACACATTAATCAAAGCACACCCAGGTTAATGTCCTAATTTAAAGTAATCATAACGTAAAAACTTTACAAAAGATCATTTCAAACAACATCAAACCATAAAAAATAAAATACTAACCAATGCTGTTAGTGGAAAATAGTCAAACAGATCAGTAAACATCTTCCAAACGTTGGCATTTCCATATCTGTAAATAAATAGAAAACGTATCTTCAAAAGACAAACAAAAATTAATAAAAGAGAAACTAACTAATCCAAAAAAAGTAAATGAATGAACAATTATGATACGAGCAGTATGCATCTTAGCTAACAGAGAAAGTAGTTCCGGAGTATTTTAACCATACAATTGTTTCCGTAAAAGTAACCAACTTTTATTTTCAGAAGAAGAATTAAATGTCAAGTGAATCCAGCCTTCTATGACAGAAAACTTAAGACACTTTAAAATTAGGTACTGCATACAAAACAAGCTTATTCATGGATGACAAGCCATTGCCCTAGTCAAACTAAAGAACTGCAGCCTCAATCTCAATGTATTCCTGCTTTGGAAATAAACTTATATGGCAAGGTTTTAAGATACTCACTTCCTTAGGCATTCATCATAAAAGCCATAAACTTGAGTAATCTGCATTTGGAACATAAAACCATTAACAGGGAATAAAACAATCAAATCAATATAAATAAGTTGCAATGAAAGATGGAAAATGACAATCAATTTTTTCCTACATGCATTATAGCTTATAGAAAGAACACTAACAAATCATTCCTACTTAATAAGCTGTTAAGAGCAATATTCATCATGAACAACCATTTAGAAACATACAATACCTGACGGCTCTCGTGGTTTCCCCTCAGAATTGTTATCCGTTGGGGGTAACGCACTTTGAGGGCTACCAAGAGCTGAACAAAAGTCAATCACAAACAAATTATAAGTTGCAACCACAAGAAAACACAATTAAATGCAAGTAATTAAGGTCCTGTACAAATAATTCATAGAATGACCCCATAATTATAGCAGTATACTTGACACTCCACCTTAATTTCTCCAGATTACTTATGGTCACAGGGGAAAAAAAATCAATTTATAGATCATAACCCCATTATTTTAGAGGTTTTCCCACAAGTATGATAACATATTAAATCCAGATAGTAGATAGAACTCCAATGTCAAGAAAGTAGTGACATATGAAGTACAAAAAAAGGTTCAACACGTGTTACAAGGTATAAAAATCTGAAGTAACAAGTTAGGATCATTAAATGAACAGGCCAATCAAACTTGACCTGACCACATGTCAATTGATTATAAAAAAAAGTCACCATAAGTAAGTTTTAGCAGCCATGTGATATGCATAGAGAGAATACCAAGCATGTAGATGTATGTGTGTGTTTGCAGAGACAAATCCATACATGTACACACACACAAACTCACATTTATTTACATGTATGTATGAGCATGTATGCATACATATATGTGTCCGTAAGTGCATTTATACACAAACACGCACACACATATACATATAGAAGAGTATCAACATAAAACATACCTACCACCTATGATTCATAAAAATTAGTTTGAGCAATGATGCACTCAGCTGAAAAAAAAAGAAATTACTACGCATGAGGATCTTTCTGTATGCATGCATGTATACACACACAAATCCGCCAACTAAGATGAATAAAAATCTGTCAAATCTGGGAGACCCATGGGAATTCATTAGGCAGAAAAAGCTTAATTATATAGAAGAATTGCAATTAAAGCACCGTAACCACAAAGCAAACCCTTCTTTTCTTCCAGAATCGCTACACACTTAAATGAACAAAAATAATGTAGGTTTCTTGCATATAATTATCATTAGTGGAAAAGAACACAATCAAGAAAAAAAGAAAACCACACATCCAGGTGAAACATATCAAAAACTGGAAATCATAGATAGTAACTCATACTTACTGTTACAGTTTCAACTGAATAGTAACCACGATCAACATAATCTCCCATGAACAAGTAATTTGTATCTGGACACTGACAAAAAAACTAAATGTTAAAAAAATAACACTGAAACAAAGCTAAAAGAAATAGGAAGTGGAACAAAGTCAAGAAACAGATAAGCTTAATTGAAGAACAAGCAAAGAGAATCAATGCACCAAAATCTTGTACAAATAGCCAACAAGTGAAACAACAATATCCAAATCAATTCAAACTCAGAAAATATGGAAGTCATTCTGATTCCCAGGGTATTATGTTACATTCCAGGCATCAGTGTTCCAGCTAACACCATCCTGCAATGTAATGAAAAATCTATAGAACTGATATATAATTAGATGTAAATGGTAGCTGTGAATTAAGCTCATGATTTATGAATGCTTGTTGAAGGCCAGACAAGAACAAAGTACTACATGCATTGCAAATACTTCACAACAGTTAGCAACATATTTGAAACACAGAATAGCAGCCTCGATCAGAAAAATTACCTTCCCTCCAATTCGAAAAAGCTCTGCAAGATCATGAAACTGCCCATGAATATCACCGCATATTGTAACAGGGCTTTTGACAGGCTGTGTTGCATCAAACAAAAAAACATTCAAGGAATAATAAGCCAACCGCACATGTGATGAGAGGGAGCAGGCAAATCATGGATTCATTAAAGTAGTTGGAAGATTCCAGCACTAAGCCTTATTAGTAGAAACTTAATCAAGAATTTAAGGTTCACAAGGGGACACCCCAACTGTTAGAACATGAGACTTTCAACATAGAGATCTTTGGTTCACGTCATGGAATGGATGGGCAAGGTTTTTGGGATGGGAGAGAACTACTTCTTATTTTGCAACCCACAGCACAACAAGCTTTAATATGTACCAAAAGATAAAATATATAGGAGTTAAAGATACTTGATGACCATATCAAGAGTTCAAAGAACATGAAGAAACATAAACAGGCATGAAAGCTAACAATTGCTATAGAAAGCATTCAAAGTTCTTACTATTTCCTTTTTTTTTTTTTTAGACTCCAACTATAGAGCCAAAAAAATTTAACCTTTTTTTTGGGTAACTTATCATTCATCAAAGAAAGAAAGCAAAGACTTTAAAACAACAGACACCATACATTTATTTTTTTCAGTAAAAGCAAACAGAAATATTACCATCAGTAGAAACAAATTTTTTGCAGCTCAAGTCACAACATAAAACTCTATTAAACCAACTTTTGGACATATATTTAAGAAAAATAAAAAATTATTAGTGACAAAACTATACACAAAAAAGTAGGACTAAATGTGCATAAATTCAGAAATGCAATGCTGCCAATAATAAATATAGGCTAATAAAAATGTATATAACTATTAAAGAAATATTATCTTGGGAAAAAACCTATTAGAAGTGAGTGGTGACAAGGGCAATGGATGAGAAGGCACACCTGAACATTGCTTTCCTCCATCAGTATCTCCTTAGCCTTGTCACATAACACCCTAACCTAATTTATATATATAATATAAAAAAACACAACAAGATCAGGTACACAATAACTTTAAAAAAGAGTTAGGATTATAATATAAAAAGAGGGGTGAATAATAATGAGTTCTAGTAAGCCATAAATGACCACATTAACAAGTAAAAAGGCTGTTAAAAGAATTAGCCTAGTCAGACGCGTAAGGCACACCAAAGATGGGGAAAAAGAAAACAGTCATCCAAGTGAAGAAAGTTGCCAGTTTCTATAAAGATTAAAAAATTCATAAAAAACAAAATTACATTTATTATATTTAATAACCCCAAATTTATAATTTTTAATAAACTGAAATATTGACTCCATCTCATTGCCTAATATATTAAAGAAGTCAAGCATTATTAGATAATATCATCACACTCTAGCATGAAGTTATCTTCACTTATCCACCACCACAGGTAATTATAAATGGATAGTATACACATTTCCTTGAAAAGGACACATTAATTTTCCTTTTTCTGTCAATTGAAATACATGCCACGTAAAGATAAAAAAATTTGAAGAAACAAAAAAGAAGCCTCCAAACATATGCCCAGAGATTTAAATTACAGTCGCGGCCACGTTTTCGGTCGCATCGCATTTATTGAAATTGCAAACATAATGGATAAAATAACGGTAATTGCGCTCATTGCGATCATGAATTTTTTTCTATTTTACACAACTTATCATAAAATGAACTATATAATTATTATAATCATAATAACCTTTATTTCGTATATTTAAAGTAATTTAAGACATTTTAATTCTTTTATTTATATGTTAAAATAAAATTTTTAGTTACAACTCATAAATTAATAAGTATATCTAACACATTCATTAATCTATTCATGAATTTTATGGACTTGAATGTTATAAATACATATTTAATCTTATTAGGAAGAATGATGATGAACATTAAATTTTTTTTATAAGATATGATTATTAGGGTAAGGGATTAAAATTTAATTCCTTGAACATAGGTACTTTTATTTTACTATTAAATCAAATACACAAGTGGAACATTTTAAAAAATTAATCAACAAAGATAATGTATTAGTTAGCAACATAACCATAACCAAACTTACAAAAAAATTCAATTAACAATAACCTCAATAATATCAAAATTATATAATAAAATTAATTTTTTAAAATTAAATGATTGTACATGTATTAAATTATAAAAAATTAAATTAACTAATTAAGAGCTAATGTCCCTCTTAAAATTTCATTTAAATCACTAAAAATTTCCCAAACTTTTATTTCCCATCCATATTTACTTTTCTCTCCAATCATTTCACCTAAACCCAAAAAAAAAAAATCAATTTTAGTCTTTAAAACAACGTGACATCAGTATCAGCCTTCACTTTGTAAACCACATTCTCAGTAAATTCCAAACCCATTTTCTTCCCTTCTCGCCAGTAGTAGAGCATGGTCTTCAACCTTCCAAATCCCCATCCCATTTTCCTCTGTTTCTCATTCCTCCTTTGCCTCTAATTTTCTTCCCCATCTTGCAACAGTCACCAAGCACAAGCAACCACCCTTTTGTCTTGCTCAGATCCTCACTGCCACTCCTTCAAGAGATTTTAAACTACCATGTCTCATTTATCTATCCCTCTCAAGAGTCAAAATTGGAGAAGACAACACAAGCACAGCCTAAAGTCGACAGGTGTGGAGGCTAGATGAGAGCTCCTTCTTCAAACCATCCGCAACTTAAATTTCAAAAAAAGGGTTTTTTTTTTTTTTTACCATGAATTAATTTCATTTTTTAGTTTGATTGAGGCTTAAATTTGTTGGATTTTGACTTAATTGTTTGAAGTTAAGGCGGGTTTACTTCTCTGGTTTGATTTTGTTTATTGTGTGATTTGATTTGGAAAATATGAAAAGCAGTTGTAAACAACTGCTATTGGCTGTTATGCCATTATTTGCGGCTGCAAAGCTCTGCTATGAGTGTGATTGCCGTTCACAACTCCATTGGGGGTGACTAGTGGTGGCGGGGGGGTGCCGCTAACGTTAAATAGCAGCTGCTACACCGCAACCCCGGCACTATTTGAAACCCTGCATATGCCTACTGCCTTCCAAGGTGCATGGATAGGCACAAAACGCATGTGTGTCAAAGAAGGTTGGCTTTTGCTAGATTAGTACAGTGCCATTGGCGCCTAAACACACAGCTTGATTACACTAAGTAAACTGTCCAAATAGATATAATGGTGAAAGCAAGAAATAGATTTATCTCAAATTACTGCACCTTGCCCCTTTAAGAGGAGCAAAACACATCCTATTTACTTTTGGAGTTAGATGAACAAGGCTTGTGCAAAATTCCTTATCCGGAGAACAACAAGTGTAACCAAATGTATTAAAACAGGCAACTGATAACCACGGACTTGGCCAAACTTGCCAAGAAATTTCAGACTATTTCTAACCCCTAACAACATTTCTTGAGGCTATTAACTTTTAGTCTCAGAAACCAATTCTTTAGCCAATTGAGTATGGTTACAACACGAATAAAATTATGCAACACAGACCAATTCACTACTACTAAAGCTCCAATCCCAGGAAGACTATATACTTTTTTCTTGGGAAACGAAACCAAGCAAGAAAGCTTGGAAAACAAACAAACAAAATGGATCAAAATCAGCGAAGGCAAGCAAATGAAAAAAAAAAATGTTTCAACAAAGATCCTATCTTCCTTTGTTTAAACTCTTCCAGGAAAGAAAACGGATCTGACCCCATATCCAGAAAATACTCAACAAAAAATGGATCGGTGAAAAAAGCCACAGATCAAGCCGTAAATGAAGAAATTCCAAACAGATTCGTTCCATTTCGGAATGAAAAATATGTACCTCTTGCTCCGATAAGGGCTTGCACTGCATCAGCTGCGAAATCTGTTCGTCCAGGTTCCCATGCGAGTTCGAACCCACCGAAGACTCCATCTTTCCTTTATTATTCTTAACCCTACACTCCCAAAATTTCCCAAGCTATTATTTTTAAATTTAAAAAAAAAAAAAGCCTAATTTGTTTCTAGGAAAGAAAAACCAAAAAGAGAGAGAAACCAAAAAAGAGATTTCTAGTTTTATGGAGAGAAGGAAAAAGAGGGAAGGAAGTGGTGGTGAAGAGCCCAATGTTTTTTATCAAGAGAGAGAGACAGTTTTTTCTTTCTCTTTTTGTTTCGATCGCTCGCTCTCTTTTTTTTTTTTTAATTGAGTTTTCTAAGGAAAAAAATAGAGACATATCAAAAATGTTTGTGCCGAATTTTAGTCTGCTCGAGATTAGCAAATGGAAATAACGAACCCATCATCATGAAACAGAAATATGTGGTGGAGGGTTTTGATAAGACCGTGATGGTACGACCATAACCGGCGCGTGGGTTGGGATTTGCGATGGGGTGTCTGTGATTGTGGATCTGATTGGTTCCATGTATAATTATTGGGAGTAACCGATTGAGGTTTTTTTTTTTTTTTTATGATATTTGAATTTAAGTATGAATAAGATGATAATAATTATTTTTTATTATATTTAATTTATATAAAAAAAGATAGAATTAGAATGAAAATTAATCATTGTTTTAGTATAGTATAATTTAATTTTTTTTAAGTTGAGAGAATTATTTTTAATATATGATATTAAATTTACATATCTTATTATATTTTTAAAAATTATATTAATAATTTAAATTATATAAATTTTGAAAAATAATAATTTTGATCAATAAAAAAATTATCATATATTAATCTTTACATACATCAAATATAAAATAAGATGATATTATTTAATCTAATTCTATTTATAATATTATCTTATCATATTTTATTATAATTCTATATACCAAACACATCTTTTTTCATTAAAAAATCTTATTTTTTTAAATATTATACTTTAAAACTTATTTTTCAATTATAATATAGTGTAATCGTCAGGTCATAATATTTTAAAAAAATATATAGTTACATAAAATTTAATTGTATTAACCTAAAAACTAAAATATTTAGTTTTTGAGCAAAACCTCTAATTATAGGTTCTTTCAGCATTGTTTCCTTTCTTTTTCTTGTGCTTATTAAATGGATAAGTGGCATTGTTTTTTTTTTTTTTATTAGACTTAAGATAGCAAGTAATCAAGTCTTTTAATTTTTTATTTCTTATTTTATCTAATATCATATCCAAATTAATCAAACAAAATAAGAGATCAATTTGTGTCTTATAAAACAAGTAGCCTTTTTCACATTATCTAAAAGATTTTTTAGATAGATTCTTTGTCTACTTATTCCATATATTCAAAAATTGCAATTTAGAAAAGATGCCTTAACTAATTAAAATTCTCTTTTGGAAAGTTCATTTTTTCTTTGGCTCTGATTTCTTTCACTTTGCAACCAATGTTGATAATAGAGGCATAAGATACTTTTAATTTATTCATTGTTTCTTATCTTTCACTTTTTTGTTGGGTTTTACCGCCTACATGTTTAACACTTTGATTTATTAGGTGATTAAGATTCATATCAGCATTTAATTAAGAGTATTCACCATTTTTCATCGTAGGTAATACTTCACTCCCCTTGTTCTTATCGTAACTACACACATTTTAGCCAAAACATTTTTAAAGTGAATTATTAGTTTTAAATTCTAAAAGTTTCACTTGGCGTACTGATGTACCATCGACACATGATAAAAAATTTAATAAAATTTATTATAGTACATACTGTTGGTTGCATTTGCAGTCATTAAGAATAAAACATCATTAAAGATTCAATGCCTAAATCAACAACCATTTGATATAAAAGTTTTATTTAATAGTTAAATGTTCAAGAATATGTTTTTAATCTTTAACATACTAATTTAATAATGAATTTTTTTAAATTTATGATATTGTAAGAAAATATCTTTAGGTAAGGATGCACCAAGATGAACACCGAAATAGCTTCTTTGCTAATTCATGCTTTGAACGATCATAGCTAACTTAAATTGGTGAGACAAGTGTCAAATGTAGTAAACATTTTGACTACACTACTTTGTATCATTATATACTTGAGAAAGCAATCATAAAAATAAGTGTCTTTCTATGACTATATACGTTACTATATGATTCTACTTTTATATTTAAAAATGCTAACTTCTAAAAATTAAAAATAATTAATAAAATAGAAGGTATAAGAAATAATATCTATGATTTTTTTTTAAGGGGGGACTTGAAACTCTATATTGCAAAACAAGGAATGAACATTGGGTTGTTTTTATCTTTGGTATAGTATAGCCACTAAAAAGGTTTCAGTTGCTAATTGACACTTTTCTTTCTAAAAATCTTTTTTTTTTTTAGAAATTTCACACATAGAGATTAGTTTTTTAATCTTTTATGCTAATTTTGGGCATTTAATTAATTTTTTATTATTATATATTTTGTTTTTACATGGATCCTGTTAGCTAAAATTTATAAATTTAAAATTTTATATTATTTAATGAATTATCATGTTTTTATAAAGTGATATGGGGAAAAAGATATTACTATACTTTATTATTGGAATTAGAGTTTTGTACAAGGACTTGAAGGATTATCTTATGATAAACCTCCTAGTCAAGCTATTACGGTGAAGTAGGGGATAAATTGTAAAGCATTGCTAAATAAGATGTATTCATTTACATCTTTGGATAGACAATAACTTAGAATCAAAATAATTTATAGATAGTTATCAATGGTTGGACAAATGTTAAAGCATATCCTTATCCCTATTAAAGATAATGATAATGTTGATATTATGTTTAATGTTATTGCCAAGCATCTAAAACTAAGTAACATTGATTTGTATTTAGAAACTGAAATTATTTCAAGTGATAATGGATGTCCTAGCAATCAATGTGACATTAATTCTGAAAAATCCCATCATCAAGAGCATAGGTACTATACATACATATAATGAAAATCATTTATTTAAATTAGTCTTCAGTAATTAGTCCTTGTATTTCTACATTTATATAACTACTAAATTATAATTTTTTTACAAAAATGAAATGGATGGTGGTAGAGGTATTGATTGGGATGCAACACTACCCATAACAAAAATGAAAGATTTTTATTGCCTATCTTAAAATGTTATGATGAATAATGCTATGTTAGATAAAGATGATATGAACGAGGAATTGATAGATAATATGTTAAAGGGGAAGAAGATGATATATTTAATACCAATGCAATTTAACCATTACTACTCAATTGAGGATGCCTTTACAAGATACAATAATAGAGCATAAGTATCGAACAAAACCTAGTTCACATGGCGAGGCTTTGCATGAGGTACCTAATTTAAGTTTACTAACTTAGAAAGGGTAAATAATAAAATGGTAAGCAATTAGTCACTTTAACTAAATGAAAATTGTTACACTCCAAATTAAGAATTACATATAAGATTGATTTTCAAGGACAAAAAAAATATTATTAGAGTAGTGAAATTATATTCTATCAAAAGAAATCAACAATATGAAGTGGTATAAAGTTATTCAACAATTTGGAGATTAAGGTATAAAAAATTTTTGAAGTTTGGATATATGATAAAATTACATCTATGTAAGTATAGCACTTGAGGATTTTTTAAGTAATGCAATACATTGTTCCATATAGTTGTTTGCATTCCAAGCTTAGTCAAGATCATTCCCATGTAAAAATGCAAGCTTGATTGCTAATTAAATGTAACATCTTGTTAAAGAACAACCACACATCACAGTGTCAACTTGAAAAATAAAAAAAATGAAAATATCAAACTACACCTTTTCTTATAAGAAGTTATGAAAAATGAAACAAAATGCAATGGAGCAATTTTTGGTGATTGGGATTACTCATTTAGTGTCTTACCTAAGTTTATGGCTGTATTCCAATATTATAATGAATGTATTATTAGGGAATGGTTAAACAAAATGTTTGAAAAACATAAACAATGTTAGATTTCTTTATGTATTTTGCTCCATTTATTGAAGGATTTAAGTTTTGTCATTTAGTTATGAGCATTGATGTCACCCATTTGTATGGAAAATATAAAAGTGAGATGATGATTGCAATGAGAACTGATGGGAATAATCAAATACTGCCTTTTGCATTTGCTATTGTGCAAGAAAAAAATTTTAGTTATTGGTTTTGGTTTTTTCATTATGTAAAAATTATGTTGCGCAAGAGTGTCGATATATTTGCTTGATATCAGATCTTGCAAAATAATATCTTGAAGCCAATAATGAGAATGCATCACTATAGGTAGAGCCGTATGATTTTCATCATTATTGTTTAAGATATTTATCAATAATTATATGTCAAATTTTGTAACTACATTTAAAAGTATTAACTTACCATGCTAGTTGTTAAAATAAAGTTAATAAATTTAATGCCATAAAGGATGAGATTGGAAAAATCAATCCTAAAGCTTGTGAATGGTTAGAAAAGTATTGTCTTGTTAGATGGACATTTTCATATGATGATAGTAGATGATATGAATAATGACCATAAACTTGTCAAAGATTTTTAGTAGTTTTTTAAAAAGAGCTCGATATTTACCTATTATTGCATGTGTTCAAGTTACCTTTTATAGGTTAGTTTATTCTTACGTTAGATGCCCTTTAGGTATTGATGCTTAAAAAAAGGTGAATTATATACACTACATATTATTTCAACACAAATGAGTTTGATATTAAAGGCAACTGCTTATACTTTTAAATCCTTTAATAGGATAAAGTATTATTTGAAATGGTGATATAAAAAAATAAGAATGTTTAGATTGTTAATTTGGAGAAAAGTACATGTTTATGTGGTAAATGGGAGATTAATAAATACATTTGTTCTCATATTTTAAATATATATGGCAAACTTTCACTAAATAGATGGCAACATATTTAGAAGTATTATTTTATTAAAAAATATTGCAAGACTTAGGTTTCTCAATTTTTTTCTATCCACCATAAAGTATCTTAGCTAAAGCTTACACTTAAATTGATTTCAAATTATAGTCTAAAACTTTTAGATAAAAGTCAACCACATTCTACAAATTTACAAAATGAAAATGGATATCAAGAAAAGGCATATGGCTATTCTTTATGAAATATGTAAAGCACAATATCATTATATAAGAAAATGCATAAGTAGACCTCAAAAAGTTTTCGTTGAAACTACATGGTAAGATTCTTGTACTTTTCTTTTTTCATATTTGTTTAGCTAACTAGTTGTACAATTAATCTTTTTCATTTTT